TCTACTCATAGAATTGTGGGAAAATTCTACTACCAGTCCTTCATCACCTTAAACGAAATTGGGTGAATAATCTCTTATTACTGATTTACTAGTAGTCTCTAAACTCTACTCAAATACGAAAAAAAATATATACTCTACATCTGGCCTCTTTGATCAGTTATAAAGGGATTTGGTTAGTTACGGTCATATGTCAACTTCGAGGCCTGTCAGTGTGTCTGTCTCTGTACGTGCATGTGCCTGTTTGTGTTCACTTATGCACGAAACCCGCAGTGATGGCTCAGAGTAATTAGAACATCAAAAGTTACGTCTGTTTTCAGCCTCTCGTTAGCTTGAATTCGTCTGTGACGATGATACCTTGCTCTGATGATGTTCGTCATATGACGCTTCGAATTTCTTCACCAAACACTTTCACTCGAAATGGAAGTAGGCATAAAAATTATGAAACAAGAGATTCCTCGGGACCCAACTTTTCTTCGCCCTATTTTTAGCCACCATTCCTATTGCATACTGTTGGACACACAATTGGTGAAGTTGATGAAAATATGAAAAAGAGCGAGTTTCGTTCTCCATTTCAAAGGAACAGTTGGCTTGGAGAAATTAGTAAAATGGTCTCACCGCACACCGAAGATGGATTGTGGTGAAATGGAGACTAATAGATCGTGCGAATAAGTCCTCGGCTCACTGGTTTGCAGCCCCGATCAATCTGTGCTAAGCTTTCGCCCGTGATCCGAGGATATTTTTGTGCAATTCAATAGTCTTCAATTCACCGTAATCCTCGTTCGGTTTCCAGTAAGATTATTTTACGAATTCTTTCTAATCAACCTCTCCTTCGAAGTGGAAGATTATTTCGCATCAAGTTGATGAGACCTCTTTGGCAACCTCAGAAGCATCGAAAGCGTGATTGTAGTTTGACTTATGACAATGAAAAGAATAGTTAAGTTTTCTTCTTTTATCTATATTTCTGACATTGATGGTGTTTGTTAATACATCGAGTTTAACGTGGTTGCATTTGCATCTTGTATTTGAAAATTAATCTCTCCCTCATGATTGTTTTTCGTCTTCTCCACCAAAATGGGCGTTGGCAGCCTTCATCTGTCTCGTGTCCCTTCGCCTCTGTAGCGTGAGTCTGTCGCCCAGCCGGGTTTTGCCCGAGGGCATCGGTTGCCACCTTCCAGGCCTCTCGGATATCCACACACCCTCGGCAAATCGGCAAGCATCACCAGCAAATGGGCGCGCCTGAATGGTGCTCTCGGTTGACTCGGCCAATCCGTACACGACTCAAGCGAGAGCGCTCGAGTCCGGTGTTCATGTGTACCATGCTTGACTCGTTGGTTGCGCCAGCCCATTTGTTGCTGATGCTGCTGCTGTTGCCACTGACGCCCAGCCTACTCCTCGGGTCGTCCTACAGAGTGACCGCGGCCTTCTCTGCGAATGGCAGTGGCTTGAACGGTGTCGGTACCGGCGGTGTTGGGCAAGGCGGAGCAGCGGTTTCGCGCGGTTCGTCGCTTTTCCCCAGTCCGCTGTCTGTTCCAGATTGCATTTCACTGAAGGACGGTGGAAAACCTTCTCTCGTCTGCAGCTCCGGCGTCACTCGGCTACCACTTCCTGGGATCAGGCTGTCAACAAATCTTTCGAAACTCTTGATCATGTCAGCCCAATTCGGTCCGGGCCTCGGGGCAGTACTCACCGCCTCTAATCTTACAGGCCTTGAGTCATTGGTTCTTCTCAAGCTTGCCGATACCAACCTGGAGCGTTTGGAACGAAGGACATTCTTCCATCTTGTGGAACTGCGTACGCTGGATCTGTCGAGCAACCGGATCCAGCAGATCGCAATCGGAGCATTTGAGGGTTTGCGACTAGAACGTCTAATTTTGTCCAAAAACGAAGGCATCTTTTTGCCCGTCGGCACCTTCAGGGATGCCAAAGTAAGCCGTTTTTTATGAAAACTTTAACTTTTTACATTATCAAGTTACCTGTCCCTTTGGAGTCAACCGGTTTTCATTTCAGAAAGTGATAACTGTCAAGGTTTACCAAGTCAGCCTTAAGTCATATTAAGCCTTATAGTTGCCAGGACTTTAGAAAATTTTTTATATGCCGTTTAGGCTTCTCTTCTATCATATTACTGATACGATGGGCTTTGATAAATCCCCTGCGATAGCATTGAGATAGCATACGCATACACACACTCGAGCAACAGTTTCACGACTAACATGAACGATAATTAGTCGAACCATTCAATATTTATCTATGCCTAAGCATTTTGATTTTTGTTATGAGTATATATAATGGATGAGATAGAGCTCGAGTGTTAACTTGAGACTTTTACCAAAATAAGTTCCAGCTCTGATGATGTCCATCATATGCTGGACGAAAGCTTAGCCAGTTTTCATCCGAAATGGGGGAAGAGGGCTCTTGGACTGCGTAAACCTGAATGCCGTATTAAAACCAAACGGCTGCATTACAACAGGATTTAGCAGTCCTTTTCTGGCGAGATCGACCTTCGAATCTCTTCTCTATGCGCTTTCATGCACAATGAACGTCTTCGCATTAGTACCAATTTAATTATTGATCGGATTTCTTGCATGCGTTCAACATTGCTTAGATTCAGAGGTGCACAGTCTGGCATATTTATGGACTGTTGCTAACACAAATCGCCAGTTTTAGTGGAATACTTAAGCTC